CATGTGGGGAGAAAAATGCAGCGTGGTTTTGTCAGCCAGGAAATACCGGAGCACCAAGTTTGATAGTGAGGGAAACGGCTTTTAATTTTTTTTAAATTATTATTAATATTTCTACTGAGTAAATGTTTTATATAATTTTAGTAAATGCCCGTTCCTCAGCCGCCTTCCCCTGAGGCGTCGCTGGTGAGGTGAGGGCAGGGTGGCGAGAAATGGTGGGGGCAGCTCCCACCCCCCCTCACAGCCTCCGTGAGGGGATGTGGTGGAAACACCTGGGACAGGTGAAAACACCTGACCTAAGAGGAAAGCACAGGTGAGCTGGAGCCAGCTGGAGGTGCCAGCCGGGGCTTGGTGCTGTGGGATGAGGAGTTCAGGGGCAGTTGGGTGCCGTGTGAGGGCGGGTGCCACATCCTTCCATGAGGACAGGTACCATGTTCCTTCCATGAGGGCAGGTCCCATGTCTCTCCATGAGTGTGGGTGCCGTGTTCCCTCTGTGAGAGCAGGTGCCATGTCTCTCCGTGACGGTGAGTGCCATGTTCCCTCTGTGAGAGTGAGTGCCAACGTTCCTCCATGAGGGTGGGTGCTTTGTTCCCTCTGTGAGGGTGGGTGCCATGTCCCTGCGTGAGGGCGGGTGTCATGTTCCCTCCATGAGTGCAGGTGCCATGTCTCTCCATGAGTGCAGGTGCCATGTTCCCTGCATGAGGGTGAGTGCCATGTTCCCTGTGTGAGGGCGGGTGCTGTGTTCCCTCTCTGAGGGCAGATACCATGTCCCTGTGTGAGAGCGGGTGCCATGTTCTGTCCAAAAGGGTGAGTACCATGTCCCTCCATGAGGGTAGGTGCCAAGTTCCTCCGTGAGGGCAGGTGACATGTTCGGTCCATGAGGGCAGGTGCCATGTTCCTGGCATGAGGGCAGGTGCCATGTTCCTGGCATGAGGGCAAGTGCCATGTTCCTGGCATGAGGGCGAGTGCCATGTTCCCTCTGTGAGAGCAGGTGCCATATCCCTCCATGAGGGTGAGTGCCATGTTCTCTGTGTGAGGACGAGTGCCATGTTCCTCCATGAGGGCGGGTGCTATGTTCCCTCTCTGAGGGCAGGTGCCATGTTCCTCCATGAGGACAGGTGACATGTCCCTCCGTGAGGGCAGGTGCTATGTTCCTCCGTGAGGGCAGGTGACATGTTTGGTCCATGACGGCAGGTGCCATGTCTGGTCCATGACGGCAGGTGCCATGTCCCTCCGTGAGGGCAGGTGCCATGTTCCTCTGTGAGGGCGGATGCCATGTTCCTCCATGAGGGCAGATGCCATGTTCCATCCATGAGGGCAGATGCCATGTTCCATCCATGAGGGCTATTTTCCCACAAAGCCGGTGGCGGGTCAAGGGGACTCAATGCTGTGGTATATTTTCACCTGCTGTAATCTCAGCGGGAGCCTTTGCTGTCCTGCATAAACCTCTGCTTTTGGATCTTAAGAGAAACCTTTGCAGTGGTCAGTAAATCCTGATGTTGCACTTGCTCTGGTTTATGAGATTTCCAGTAGTGCACAGCTTTGGAAATTTGTCACTTGGCGGATCAAACAGCTCTGAGGGCACCGCAGATTTGGGATGAGGGGGGAGAATCAACTGTCTCCATCTTGTTTAAATGAGCTTCAGGTTCAGTACATTAACGTGCTAATAAGGGAGCCTTGTGTTCCCACAGTGCTCTTACAGGCGTTCTCACACTGCTGACCTGACCTCCTTAATCCTGGCTTTCCTGAAGGAAAAGCTGATCCATCAGGCCTCCTGTACCTAAAATGGGATAAAAAGAAGCAGTGGACCTATTTCAACGCTGATGCTTCTCAGTTACCTCAAGCAGCCTTGTTCTTTTTTGTATTCATCACTTATTTCCCTGGGAAGTGAAAAAAAAAAAGGGAAAAAACCCTCTAGATGTGAGGGCTCAAATCACTGAAGATGAGAAGCAGCAAAAGGAAATAAAGAGGTCAAACACCTAAGTTAGCTTATGATTAAAAAGAAATTAGTGGGACTATTTTTAATTTGTTTAAATATATTACTTTCTATTAAAAAGGTCTTAATATTTCACTACGTATGAGATGAAGTGTGTCACCAGAGGAAGATTTTTCAGTTTTAGTATCTTTTCTCTTAAAAAATTAGAAGTCCAATGCCACTGAAGCCACAAATGTGAAACCACTAGGAATGGCAGCAGTGTGGGACTTTACCTGTACAATACACCAGGGTTGCCTTCCAGTCAGGCCAATTTGCAAGGATTCAGAGGAGAGAGATACAAGCTGTGCATAACAGGCACACTAGGGGTGGGTCTGTGGCACCACATAGCCCCCCAAATACTCAACCTCAAAATGTCGTGTAGCCTTGAGAACCAAAACTCTGCGTCTCTGCACTCAGACCCGTCCCAAGATGTTGGGTCCCAGATTAAGGAGCTGCTAGAAGCCCTCTTGGGAGGCTGAAGTGCATCTCATATCTGAGTTTAGCTGCCAGAGCTTACGTCTTTTTTTGTTAAATCTGCTAGACTGTGGATATTTTCAGGCTGCAGCTGACAGAAATTAGAAAGGATAGTTGTAAACAAAGTTTTGTAATGCCAGAAGTCTATGACGGAGCTTTTTTAATCGGTGCACAAGCAGAACAGTGATCTGACTGTTCTAAGGCTTTCCATGAGATTGCTTGTTTTTCCATTTTTCTTTTCTTTCTTTTGTTAAATGAAGTTCCTTAAGAGTCAGTATAGCAACTGGGTGAGTCTCTGCAAACTCACTCATGGGGGAAATCCACCATAATGTTTTAAAAAAAAAGTAACAAAACATCTGCTTAGGAATTTGTCACAAAACTCCAAAACAATGCAAACACCCTCAGTTTCATGTTTTGTTCCCAGCTGGAAAGCCAGGCCAGAGTCACTGAACATTTCACCAAGTCTTGCTAACCTTCTGAGCTGAGTTGTGAGAAATTGTTCTTGACATCACATGAGCTGGGCCACAAGGCAGGACTAATGTGATATTTGCTGTCGAAGGTTTCCTAGGAAACATGCTACTTAGAGCACTCAGCTCTCCCTGCCACCCTTCCTGCATCCTCCGGCTTCACCGGCTCCCACAGGTTTTGCAGAGGGCAGCGATGTCCCCTCTGACCTCCGGGCACCCTCGGCACGGACCTTCCCAGCTGAGCAGAGAGGGGCTGTGGAGATTTTTGAAGCTCACCCTCCTAATTGTCCTTTTTTTTTCTGATTTATCCCTTTCCCTCTTTTTTTTTTTCCCTCCAGCAGTCTGCAGTGGAAGAAGTGAGAGAAACTAAGCTACATCCTGGAAGACTGGAGGTGGAGAGAAGGAAGTTTTAGCCTTCCCAGCAATCTTAAACTTTCCTGCCAAAGGGGAACTGGTGGAAAAAGCTTAGGAAAATCAGCAGATAACTTACAACTTTACTTGCCACGAGGCTCCTCATGTTTTGCCTGCAGTTTGCAATGCAGTAGCTGTACATAACCTGTAGGGACTTTTCAGTGCAATGGAGCTCCCCGGTTCATTCCCACAATTTCACCTGGTGGCTGTAGGTGCTGTCCTTGACATCAGACCCACATAAATGATTCCTGTCATTCAGGCCAAACTTTTCAGCTTGGCCATTTGGAGCAGCAGGATGGTTCCCATTGAGGATGAGATGAATGGAGTCGGTTCACACATGTTAACCAAATGCAAATCCTTAGATGGAAACTCATGGTCAGCTTTTTCCAATGCTATTTTCAGAACTTCCACAAAAGACTGTGCTGTGATTATATGTATTCATGATATGTATATCATGTATTCAGCTCAAACAATATTTGAATGATGCATTTAGAATTCTTCCTAAAAAAGGACCATGCTTCTGTAAACTGCACCATATTTGTAAAAGAGGGGAAAAAAAATCTAGCTTGCTTTTCCTTTCTTCCTCTCTTTCTTTTTAATCTATCATTTCATAAGGCTGTTAGAATTGGTGTTAATGCTACATTACACACAGACACACTTCTACATAATCATATGCATTTGCCTGTATTACATACATAAACAACCCTATGGAATCCCAACTCTTCATTGTTAAGTTTGTCTCCATCTTTTTCAAAGCAAAGCAGCTCTAGGTGTCAGATAGTTGCTTTTTTCACTCTCTTTCACTGGCTTTTACAGCAAATATAGCCAAAAAAATAATGCATTGGGAATTTTGGGTGGTTTTTTTGTTTTGGTTTGGGGGTTTTTGTTTGTTTTGTTGTTACTGGTTTTCTTTGGGTTTTTTTGTCTTTATTTTTGATTTGTGTTGGTTGGTTGGAGTTTTTTGTATATCTTATTTTATTTATTATTGTAAATAAATAAACTATTGTTTATTTATGTGTATTTTATTTTGTTTGTATGTTTTATTTTGTTTTGTTTTATCTTTCCTACCTGGCCATTTATAACTACCTATTTTCCCTCATGTCTCTTCCACTGATAAAAAAACCCAACAAACATTTTTTTGACTGTCATTAAGTGTCCTTCACATTGCCAATATTGATTTCCCCAGCCCCTTGAAGGCCAAGAGTGTCACCTCCATGATGCTCCCTGAAGCCACTGACTTGGAAAACAGGAGTGCTAAGGTTGCTGTTGCCAGACATTGGTTTCCCACATGGTAGGACTTAAGACAAGTAGCCTTAAGTCACTGGACTGATTAATTTCTCTCTGTGATGCCATTCACTTCACCTTACCATGTTTGTGTAGTGAAGCTGTTTGGCCAACATGCCCTATGGGCCTTGTCTTAGTAATGAAAGTGCAGAGGGTGGAAAAGAAATTCCATTCTGGATTGTTTAGCTCTATCTTCAGTTTCTGATGGCATCCAAAAGATTGGGCTGGCTTTTGGGCTGGCTTTTCAGTGTGCCTTCAGGTTCAGAAGAGCAGCTTCTCCTAAGCCCTGCAAAGCTAGTGGGGCTTCACCTGTGTAAATCTGGGCAGAACTGGGGTCTTTGTGGCCAGAGAAGGAACACCAGTAATACTCTTCTCTTTCTGTTCAAATCCAGAAAAGTTTCTTCCAAGCATTAAGACCGTGATGTCAGTCAGCTTCAGAGAAACAGCATCAGATCACCTGAGAATCAGCATGCAAGCCTCAGGTCTGTACTAGTCTCTTACATCAGCGTTTTTCATTGCAGAGTCAGGATTTCCTTGCACGGAATCCTGGTGGTGGATTTGCAAATCAACCTCTGCCTGTGAGATGCCATCATGAAACCACATTGCTCACAGAAGGCAGAACTTTTCTGAATTGTGACAGAATACCCAACATGTGAGATTCTGGAGGGCCACCCAGACAATTTGTTGGTTTCAAAGCACTTTCAGAATGTCAGTCCTCATGGCACCACATAAAATATATGTCAGGGGCTATTGTTAAACCCCATTGCCAGATGAGGAAGGGAGGAAAGGAGATTACAAAACCACAACTTGAGTTATTGTTGGAGGCAGGACTGGAACTCGGGATTTCCTGGGCAGATTACCACCCTTCACTTCTCCCTCAGTTGGTATAATTAGCAGTGTCCTGGATCTCTCTAATTTCCATGCAAGAACACATCTGAATGCATTTTTCTTTGAAATTGTCCATCTTAGGGTCATTTCTGTTGTGCAGTTCTGGCTGCTAATGATCTGTTTTCTGCAGTGAAATGCTTACTAGTACACTGTAAATCACGAAGATGTGTAAGGGCATCCATTTGTGACTACTGATTTAATCTCTGTGGATTTCTGGAATTGGCTACCTGTAAAACTTTGGGAGCCAGGTCTTGAAAAAAAATGGTCCTTTGTGTCTCTTTAATATTTTTGTTCTTGGCTGGTAGCCATTCAGATGGATGTCTTACATCCTTGAGATGAACTTAGTGCAGTCCTCATTGACCTAGCAAGCCATTTTTTCCCTGACGACAAGCTGGGATCACATTTTGTAATGACTGCTGCAAGATTGTCTTGTTAGGGAAAGGGCTAAGGTGGGATCGTCTTTAATGACAATGAAAGCACTTCATAAAACCTGATTCCTTGGTTTTACAGGCATGGCTCTAGAATTTTAGCCGATGCAGACTTAGTGAATCAGTCAGTCAAAAATTATATCAGTTGAAGTATAATGTTCATGGCAGTCCAAAAACCTGAACATGTAGGTGATTTGGAGGGCATTTTGTTAACTCTTTAATTGGTCGTTTGAGTGCTGGAGGCAGTAGCTAATTGCCTGTAGGTCAGAGTAGTCCTAGAGCTTAGGTAAATGTATATTGTCATATGTCACATTTTCATATGGCTCCTTTGCACAGGTTGGTAAAAATGATTGCTGCATAATTAAAATTAAGACAAGGTGGGAAAAGTGATTCAATTAAACCCCTGAAGCCATTGCACAAATTATCTGAAGTACCAAAAACTAATGAATAGTTAAAACTAGTTTTATCTTTTTACTCTTCATTCTTGAATCCTGAGGGTATCAAAATGGCGATTGAATCTCTCTCAAAGTTCTCAGAGGTGAGTTTTTGGGTGGGCAGTGCAAGTATGAGTCAGCTCAGTGGAATCCAGGCCTTTTAAAATACCAGCACACAGAAACTTTGTTACCTAGTTGTTTTGAATTGAAAAGAACCAGACCTTACGCACAAGAGACCTTTTGGTTTCTCCACCAGCCCAGAATTATTTTGAAAACATCTGCAATATTTCACTCTGCATGCAGCAGGTATTATATACCAGGGAGGGTGATGACAGTAAAAATAAATGAGATATGTTGTAACCAAAACATCCCAAGTTTTACATCATACATTTCACAGCCTTAGCAAGCATCCTGTGCTTTGACTTGAAGGCTGAAGGCGTGTGGTAGTTTTACAAATGTCTATTAGTATTAACAAATATGTTCCATTATTAGACAGTGTGCCACTGCCCCAACCTCCCGGTGCAAGAGGTGAGTTAATATGGCTTATAAAATACAGGAGTGCTGCAGGCACAGGCTATGGAAATCAGAGCCCTGGCTGAGCAGGAGGTCTCATTACATTTCGTGGGACAACTTACTAGAGGCCTGAACATGGGCATAAAAGCTGCCTCCCAGCTCAGGCTTTTTATGGTTCCTGTCCTTTCCCAGAGCAATATGACTTTAGGAGGTTTAGAGCAACAAGGTCTGCACCTTTGGATGCTGGCAGTGTGCTAATTCTGGCTGGGTTTAAAATGGGAAAATTAAGATATGTATGTATGCACTGTCCCTGAGATTTTTAACAGAATGTTTTAGTGGCTGAAAGTAGCAGGACGCTGAGAGTTGTGCTCTTCCACAGTTGTTGTTTTTTGGGGTTTTTTTGAATGGCTCTTTGCTGTTAGCTGCAAACCTCCATTTCTGGGACACAGAGTGTTCCTTGTCCAGGTTTGCCAGGATTGTGAGTGTCTGCACAGAGAGGACCCGATACACGGAAACTGGATAAAACAGCGCACCTCACGAGGAAATAAGGAAGTCTTGTTGCTCTTCATTGGAACAGATACTTCCCTGGAAGATGTTTCAAATATGCCCTAGTAGAGTCTATCTCAAGCCATCCAAGTAGAGGTGTCTGTAGACATTTCCCCTTGCAGGGGTGGTGTAGATTTATAGTATAAATGAGGGACAGATTTTATGCTTCCATCTCTTCAGAAGTTATTCTTGTGCTGCATTTGAAAGTAACAGTTAAAAAACCTGTTCTGATGCTTATTAAACAATCAGAAATCTTAAATAGAACTAGTTTATTATCACAGGTAGCATGTTCATCTAATTACTGACTTTATCATGCAAAAAAAAAAAATCCCTGCTGAAGACCAGGGTGATTCAGGGAATAGTAGGTTATGGAAACATGATGATGTCAACTCACTAGATGAGCCCTTCATTAATGAGTAAAGCTTCTGTAGGTAGAAAAAATAAACCTTCCTAAAGATTTCTGTGGATCAAAACCCCAAGAGATGAGAGCAGAGTAGAGAAGAAGGAGAAAACTGAAACATAGGAGGTGTTCAAATCACGTGAGCTCTCCGCTTTCCCATGCTTCCTGGTGGAAAAGCAAACAGCCAGACATTGTCAGGAGTGTCCTAAAAAGTCAAAATTGTGAGGGGACACATTGTAGTCTCCTCCCAAAATATTTTCTTCAGTCTTTTTTGGTGTGTGTTCAGCCTAGACTGCTGGTGATCAGAGGCAAAATTTCCAGTGCCTGTGATTCAAGAAAAACACTGCTTATGTGATTAAATGGGGTGTTTTTTCTCTATAGTCTTGGCCTGAGACCACCCAAATGCCAGGTAAAGTACTGCATGAGACAAGCCAAAGTTTTCCTTCCATTCCAAAGGCATAAGCAACAGGCTACATTTGCTTTTATAAATGCAGATTGGGAGTTTTAGGAGGCTACCAGCAAAAACCAGGTTATGGTACGGGCTGTTGTGGATTGCACCAAGAGAGTGCTGAAATTCCTGCTCTGCGTATAGGAATGTGGAAATGACCCAGGAGTGTTTGGGATGCCTTTGTGGATTTCATGTATATATACAGTATTGTATTACATTTATAGAGATGTATATGGCAATACCATACAGGACTAGTATGAGACATAAAAGTTGTTATGTGACAGATCCACAATTTTTCCTTTGTGTATAAAGAGTGATTCAAGGTCATGGCACCAAATTTATCTTTCCAAAGGGCCTCATTTCACTGCCTATGGAAGACTTGGAACAGTGTCCTGTATTTACTATAAAAATACATATTTAAATATATTAAAAAAAACCCAGCAGTATTTTGATCTGTTAATATGGACCTTTTCAAAGAAAAGTGCAAGCTGTTGCCACCAGCCAGGTCCGTTCCCATACCCTGCAAATAGCAAGTGTATGCAAAGAGTTTAAAACTTGGATTGAGGATGCAGCCAGGGTTGCTGGTGGAGGAGCCAGGAGCACAACCCCTGCCTGCTGGGCTTTGTGGAGAAGACCTGCACAATCAAAGCTGTGGAAGGTAAAGGAATGCATTGGGACTTTGGAGAAATTCTTTTAAAAGCCTCTGGAATTATGAAGACAGTGAGAAAGGCTTTCCATAGACTTTCTGGAAAGTGAGTCACTGGTGGGTTCCCCTGGGAACTGAGGGAGGCAGCAGGAAGATGGTAACGACCTATTAAACTTGATAGGACGTGCTTTGGTGGTGGGTGGTGGGACCATGGCATTTCCAAGTGTTTTCACGAGCAGGCAGCAGAAGGACGTGCACATTGTAATTCCTTTGGGGTGCATTTTCCATGCAGCGAGGTAGGGATGAGAAGTCAGCTGCCTTCTCCCAGAGAGCCTGGAAGCACTGAATTTCCCTCTGGAGTTGCACTCCTCTTGATGTGCATCAGTAGTTTAATGGTATTGTCTTGTAAAGAGGAGGTTTTAAAAGTTGCTTTTAATACATGAGACAAACTTATTACCAGTGAGTCTAGGGACCCCCATCCTTTTGTTATCTCAGGGAGGCACAGCCCTTGCTCACAATACCTCGTGTGCAAGGACCAAAAGCATGGACTGTTTGAAGCAACAGTTCTTGTCTCAGCCCCAGAAAAGGCAGGGATATGAGATATTTCTTTGGCAGTGTGGTTGCCTGGGGATGCATCTGGAACGGAAGGTCTGCTTTGCCATGAGCAGAGCTATTACAGTGCTGTTACAGCCTTTCCAAGAGGATAATATTCTTTGGGTGTTCCCACCTTCTCCTGGCTTACACATAAGATGACAGCATGGCTGAAAAGACCCTGCTGGATGCCCAGAAAGGGACAAAGTTAGTAATGATCAGCGTGCAAAGAAAGATTAGACATGAACAGAATTGGATTGATTACTTTGGACAACTTTACGACCTTTGTTTTCCTTCCTAAATTTTTTGTGGGTTGTTTTTTAGTAAAATAAATCACAGCACTATGCAAACCCCCTGTAATGGCACTGTATTTTTGGTGGCTCACAATTAGCCTTGATAACCCAAAGGATGGAGGCGAGCATATGTCATGGGTGGAGTCAGGAATAATGTGCATCTTTGTGTCTTTTGACGTATGACAGATTTCTTCAGTCAGATGCAGGCCTGGCTGAATTCAGCCACCTTGGCCTGGATATTATCCATGTGGCTAAAATTGCCAGTCCATTTACCCTGGAAATTATTACAGTGGTG